GATTAGTAGTTGTCCTGCATCACCTGTCCCAAGATGCCCATATAAAGGAGAACCTGGATGCTCTGGGCTTTGCTGTCTCCTATTTCACATCATTCAGAAGCTCCGCCCCCTCACCTGGTCATGCAGGGCGTCCTCGGGCCCCGGATCTGTCTTGTGGTGTTTGCCGTCCATACATTGGTCCACGTAACTGGCCGCCGAGAGGCAGGAAATGCAGGTCAGGAGGACGATCCAACGCAGCGACATGACTCGGCGATCGGCTGACCCGGGCTGCCCAAGAAACAAAAATGTGTCAGAGAGGGGTCTCTACATTCAGAGGGGCACAGCGGGGGTTCATGTTATCACTCACTGTGGCATAGCTGAGGATAGGCCACACCCACATTGCTGATCAGATACATCGTATCCCATCGTCCCCATTGTGATTAATAACGATGCATTTCCAGGAGGACACCCCCCCTATATACACACAATGGACACACCCCCTATATATACACACAATGGACACACCCCTGGTCACACCCCCTATATATACACAATGGACACACCCCTGGTCACATGCCCTCGCCGACAGAGAGCCCCGCCCTCGCCGACAGAGAGCCCCGCCCTCGCCGACAGAGAGCCCCGCCCTCGCCGACAGAGAGCCCCGCCCTCGCCGACAGAGAGCCCCGCCCTCGCCGACAGAGAGCCCCGCCCTCGCCGACAGAGAGCCCCGCCCTCGCCGACAGAGAGCCCCGCCCTCGCCGACAGAGAGCCCCGCCCTCGCCGACAGAGAGCCCCGCCCTCGCCGACAGAGAGCCCCGCCCTCGCCGACAGAGAGCCCCGCCCTCGCCGACAGAGAGCCCCGCCCTCGCCGACAGAGAGCCCCGCCCTCGCCGACAGAGAGCCCCGCCCTCGCCGACAGAGAGCCCCGCCCTCGCCGACAGAGAGCCCCGCCCTCGCCGACAGAGAGCCCCGCCCTCGCCGACAGAGAGCCCCGCCCTCGCCGACAGAGAGCCCCGCCCTCGCCGACAGAGAGCCCCGCCCTCGCCGACAGAGAGCCCCGCCCTCGCCGACAGAGAGCCCCGCCCTCGCCGACAGAGAGCCCCGCCCTCGCCGACAGAGAGCCCCGCCCTCGCCGACAGAGAGCCCCGCCCTCGCCGACAGAGAGCCCCGCCCTCGCCGACAGAGAGCCCCGCCCTCGCCGACAGAGAGCCCCGCCCTCGCCGACAGAGAGCCCCGCCCTCGCCGACAGAGAGCCCCGCCCTCGCCGACAGAGAGCCCCGCCCTCGCCGACAGAGAGCCCCGCCCTCGCCGACAGAGAGCCCCGCCCTCGCCGACAGAGAGCCCCGCCCTCGCCGACAGAGAGCCCCGCCCTCGCCGACAGAGAGCCCCGCCCTCGCCGACAGAGAGCCCCGCCCTCGCCGACAGAGAGCCCCGCCCTCGCCGACAGAGAGCCCCGCCCTCGCCGACAGAGAGCCCCGCCCTCGCCGACAGAGAGCCCCGCCCTCGCCGACAGAGAGCCCCGCCCTCGCCGACAGAGAGCCCCGCCCTCGCCGACAGAGAGCCCCGCCCTCGCCGACAGAGAGCCCCGCCCTCGCCGACAGAGAGCCCCGCCCTCGCCGACAGAGAGCCCCGCCCTCGCCGACAGAGAGCCCCGCCCTCGCCGACAGAGAGCCCCGCCCTCGCCGACAGAGAGCCCCGCCCTCGCCGACAGAGAGCCCCGCCCTCGCCGACAGAGAGCCCCGCCCTCGCCGACAGAGAGCCCCGCCCTCGCCGACAGAGAGCCCCGCCCTCGCCGACAGAGAGCCCCGCCCTCGCCGACAGAGAGCCCCGCCCTCGCCGACAGAGAGCCCCGCCCTCGCCGACAGAGAGCCCCGCCCTCGCCGACAGAGAGCCCCGCCCTCGCCGACAGAGAGCCCCGCCCTCGCCGACAGAGAGCCCACACTGACCGTCAGAGGTACATTGCTGTGTAATGTATTGCTGGGATTTGTAGTCCCCTCTACAGCTTGGAGTCGGGGGCAGATCTACCACAGCTGCAGCCGGGCCCCGGCGCTCCACCACTGACTGCAAGCTGTAGAGGGGACTACAAATCCCAGCCCGGACCGGAGGAAGAGGGTCCCGTTGTCACCATTTCCATAACAAGGCCACCGATAGCCTCAGCCCCAGGCCCGTGATGCTCTCAGTCCATCGGGAGCACCGGGGATGGGAGACACTGCCGGAGGAGGGGGAAGGGGGGACCTCCGCACTCCTATAGCAGTCCTCGGAGGACTCCACCACCTCAGCA